GTTACATTTCGCTTTTCAGTCAATTAGATGGGTGACGGACCTTATTTCTGTAAATCATTATTAAACACATTGATATTCAATAGGTGACACAATCCACTTTCAGAAAGAAGATCATCAAGACGACTTCTGAACCAGGTTGTAGTTTCACTGCAAGGGAGGTTCACTGGCAGTCTGTCCCACATGGTTGGGTAGCAAATAACGAAAAAATTCTGCCGTGAATTTGTGTGGGTTCTTGGAATCGCTAGGATGTTTTCCTTATTGAGTAGATTGTGGGATGATATTGTAGCGTGGCGTCGAGTTGAGATTAACTGTGAACACCGCTACCCAGAAACACGTGCCAGACAAATCAGAAGGCGAGGATCAATCGTAACCAGATTTATTTCGTTGGCGATCTCGTGGTATTGAACGAATACCGAGATCGTGCCAAGGAATGGTACAAGTGGAAGCAGAAGACAGGAGTACGTGCGAACAGTACCAAAAACCGCGGAACAATAATGGAAGGTAATGGAAGCACAAAATGGCTATACTTAGCACAGTTAAACAAAAGCACATTAAAACAAACACTGGTACAGTTGGTTATAATAATAATTGTTTTTATTAAACCAGTCGTGTTCTCGTGATAAACGTGAGTCACTACAATATCATAGCGTATGAAAGGGTAGATACCGAAGAATAGGAAATACCGTTAATAGGCTGGAAGATTTTAATTTAACACGTCTGATTCAGAGAGGTTCTAACTTGAGATGTTGAAATCTTTGGTCGTAATCCTTGTTGCCTGAACATCTCAAAACAGCTTTAGTTAATCGCCTTTGAATTTTCAATTTTCATTAATTCATTGCGCTTGCAATTGCTGTAAACTAGATTACTACATTCAAGAATGGACAATATACATTTTTTGTACAGTAATATTCTCGATCCGATGTTATTGGGGCTTATCATTATGGATCCAAGGGGCTTTCTAGCGTCGGATACTTGAGATGCAATGTGCCATATCTCATATTCAAGTCACGAACAGTGATGAGAGGTTTAGGTGTACATTTGTGTAACCAGATTTAGGTTAAGGCAGCGGCTAACGTGAATAAACCACTTTTGTCAACATTCAGTGGTAGGTTCTAAGACAGTCCATTCGTATAACTTGTTTATTTCTTCTTGGATTATCGCTGATATATAGCTTTCTTTGGTAGGAGAAGAGAAGGAATAAACCGCTCTTAAGTCATTGGCAAAAAGGAAGGGTTTACCGTGTTAAAAGAGTCATCACACATCCTAATTCGTAAGGAGGAAGAGTGATAGACCAATCACACTTCCTCGTATAACCCCACTGGTTACATTCACAGGTTTAGTGCAGCAAGATTCAAAGCGATTGATTTGACTACGTTCTTCTAAAAAAGATTTGAGCCAAGATAAAATGGGAGTCTGTATGCCAAATGAAGAGAGACTTGTAAGAAGTTTGTGTGAGACACTGTCGAAAGCCTTACTAAAATCGAAGTAAGGAATTATCACTGACTGACCAACATCTCATTCCCGGGTAATTCGATCAACACATTTCAGGTGCAATGTGAAGCATGAGAGTTTAGTCATAAACCTGTATTGGGATAGGTTAATCAGACTAGCTGAAAGTAAAAATGATAATAGCTGTTTGTGGATGATTTAATAGCACGGATGTTAAAATAATGTGCCTATAGTTAGTAATATCACTACATGATCCCGTTTTGAATCCGGGGGTGATAAGAGATGTTTTCCATACAAATGGATAGGCCCCATATTCCATAGATAGGTTGAAAAGTTTTAAATAAAAAAATGGAATTCTCTACTACCATATTTCACAAACGATGAAGGAATCCCGTCTGGTCCATCATCATAAGACTTTGTCAGGGCAGCTATGACCTGTTTGACGTTGTTGGGTGTGAAATCAATTTTGGATAGGCGTCTGGATGTCAACATTGAAAATATATCGATAGAAGTTTCAGTTTCAGTGTTGTATCATAGCAAGAAATGATAGCTGGTTCGTGTATCAGGGTCGTCAACAAAGTCTTAAAAGTATTCTGGCCCTTATTAGCAATACAAACCACATGGCCAATAATTGGAGCTGTGCAATCAAGGCAATATATTAGGTTGTAATATAGATTGGAAAGCGCAATGTCAATATAATTTTTGTGGTAAAATAAGTTTCACATGGTAAACACTGAATAAGAGTTTCAGCCCATTTCCTGGTTTGTTGATCTAAATGTCGGCTCTGGTACATCATTGAAGCTTTAGAGTTTAATTGTATGGCGTTTAAAGAATGAATAATACCCAATATAACTTTATGATCACTCATAAATAAGTCATGATTGATACGCACTGAGATAGAGCCGGTGTTAATTGTAAACATTAGATAAAGTTTATCATTCCTGCTAGTCAGCTTTCGGACTTGTTGGGCCCATCCACAAAGTTCTCTTGCTTCAGCTAACTTGTTTTATCGGCGTGGTACCGAAATCCAATTCCAAATGATCTTCGGTGTGTTAAAATCACCTCCGATGACTTTGGACGTATGCGGGTGGTGCAAAGAATTGAAAAATATGTTTGTTAACGATCTATCAGAGTTAATAACCGCGTGGAGTGAGCTGTTTATGCATCCCATCAGTAGATAATTTTGCGACCCACAATTTACGGTAACCCAAGTTGAGTCATCCATAACATAAAGACATTGATTCTCAAATTTACATGCTTGAATGTTCAAAGGAACATATATAGTTGTACCACCTCCTATGTTATAGCGTCTATCGGCTCGAAAATAAATTTAGCTATCTCCGTGTAAGGAATGATCAGATATGGATGATTTGCACCACGTTAAATATACTGGTTGGATTTAAAATTATTGAAAGGGTTTTTAATGAGTACGTTTATTGGACAGAGAGTGGGCATTGAATGTAAGAATAAGAAACTGAGAGGCATTATGATTTATCAGGTTAAGATATAGATCACCAGTATTATTTCTATGAGTACTCTTGAAATCGGCTAGTGTAAGAATTGTGTTATGATGGGAAGTAGATTCAACAATATTGTCAGCATTTGTAACATATTCATTGTCGGCAGCAGGGAAGCCGGCGCAAAAATGTCTCTGATTGTTACTGACTGTAATAGTCATGGTGTCCATCTTGGGGGCCGGACCAAGAAGGCTATCAGTTCTGTGTATGCAACTAAGTAGCCGTTTACATTTCGAACTACTTCCTGTACCTGATATGTCTGTAGCATGTTCCAGATATTTATTTCCAAAGTTTTTGGTTTGTTTTAACTCCTTTGTAATTTGGGGCGAATCGAGTGTTATTAAACATTCTTGCGGTGATTCGCAGGGTTCGAATATATCGACGTCTAGTGCGTCGTCAGTTCGCACGTCGAGGAGGAACTAGGCTACACTAGGCAAAATCAGAGACATGTGCTTTCGGTTTAATATGAAGATCATAGTCCCAGCTGAAACAAGGCTATCGCCTAACATTACGAATGGAATATTGAGCTTGCACAAAACTGGAGGTGGAGTGGCGATATACTTTAACAGTCGAGGCGAGATATCCGTCTATCAATAAAAGGACGAGTATACTGCGCGGCAGTCCGTTCTGTCTTACTTTACGGCAGCGAAACATGGCCATTAAGAGTAGAAGACACTCGTAAGCTACAAGTATTTGACCACAGATGCCTTAGAAATATTGCTGGCATCTGCTGGGATCACCGGATAAGTAATAGTGAGGTTAGACACAGGGTATTAGGGAATGATGGTAAATCAGTTGATGAGGTTATGAATCTTCATCGACTGAGATGGTTGGGCCACGTATTACGTATGCCTGAACACCGATTACCACGACGTGCAATGCTAACCGGTGTAGGGGTTGGTTGGAAGAAAGTTAGGGGCGGCCAAACCAAAACGTGGCATCAGTGCTTGAAGACACTAACTTCTAGTCTGAGCCATGTTGGTAGATGCAGACTACTTGGTTGGAGTCCGCGTGACTATCGTAACCAATGGTTGGAGACTCTTGGTGACATGGCTCAGAATCGATCACAATGGCGTCGGTGTATACACTCCCTGTCTTCCCTTAAACTAAGAGATTAAATCACTTCATATCTTTCTTTCTACGAACTAATTCTTCCTTCCTATACTATATCCTTATTGCAACCTTTGACCTAACCACTGCTATGAATCCGGTGTTCATCTTGTTGTGCTAATGAGGTGTGGCAACCTGGACCGATGCACATATGTGCCTGGTCCTACGTTGTAGCTGACTGACTGACTGACTGATTTTCACATTGCATTCAACCACCTTACCAGACTATCTACTTATATCCAGAACCCATTTTGCCCTGGGACAAACATACTCACTCGAATTAAAAAATATATACGAATTCACAAACAACTGCCAAACTGATTGGGATTAACGTAGTCGAGTGGCCACAATATCACCCACTGGATATAACCAAATAACTAGGACCGCACCAAAATTACAAGAAGAGAGCATGGAGAAATCAGTTGATTTATGCGTATCACGATCAAAATTCTACACTATTGACTTTTTGGTTCGATTTTCAGGCTGTCCTAATTCCAAGTTCACGTTATTTCTGACTGCTTTCAATTGCTTTCGTTTTGAAATGTAACTGAATTCTGTATGCTTACAGACTCATGAGCTCAGTTTTCCCCATATTTTTTTCTTCAAACAGTCCCACTCATCCAAATACCACTCCACTACACAAAATATCCTCAGGTCAAACTCAAGCTTACCAATGACTGGACGTAACAACATAAGCTAAGGACAAAGATATTGGATATCGGGAGGGCGGTATTTGAAAAAATGAGGCGGAAGCGGCGTTCCGATTCGTTTGATGAAGATGGTATTTCTGAAACTTCGACTTACTTAGTTCTGATTAAGACTTTAGATCAAAAAGAGACAGGACAGAACCAGATACGATTGAATCTCTCATATATCGAATAGGGTTCAAAGTACTATATCTTTTGATGCTCATGAACTTCCTAGGACCTTTCTAATATAGAACGGGATATTGGAGAACTCGCGTCAGTTATTCTAGCAGATATCCCAAAGAATGGAGAGGGCCTTTTGAAAGTTCTGAGCAATTGGTATTTTCCGATTTACTTATGATCCTTTTAGTGTAAAGAATGTTCCAGAACGAATACTAATTTACGCAACGTTAGTTGGGTTGCTGAATCTAAAAAATCGATCGTTTGTCGGCCAAGTATGTATCACATATTGGTAAAAACAATTCTTTAGTTGATAGAACTTCTACAGCGAGACCTGAAGGATGCTATTAGATCGGCGAGTTTTGAGGATGCTAAATATATAGTATATGATGTGGTTTTGCTTTCATTACTTGTCTAGGTTTTGTTCTTGTCAGTATCTGTTAACTGTCATACTGTTCAGAAAGCATCCATTCTCGGTCTGTACGAAAATTTTGCTGAAGTCACTCTTGATGCAGGACGAAGTTCTCAGGCTCGAACTGATTGGTACACATACGTGATTCTTTACGGTCTACCATACGTAAGTGAAGCATATCAATCTCTAACTCAGTTTTCACCTGTTGCCTTTGACATCCTTGTATTCGTATACATATCAGGTATTTTGTTAATCTATATTTAATCTGCAGTTCAAGAACACTTGCGACTAGGGATCTGTCAGCATTTATCAGGATCGACATAGATAATCAACGACTATTTCAAAGTATTGGTGCACCTTGTTCCCAGTTCTCCATATTACACTTATTCTGTACCATATTTTTATTGACTCTGATTTCTAGTATACCTCTTATATTTTGATCTCGAAGTAAGCTATTTTACACATTTAAAATGGCACAATATATTACAGAATAAATACGCCTTTTTTAGTAACTAGTGAATATAGTCGTGAGTGCATACAAAATTAATTTTGTTTTCATTTGTTACCTCAAGTTGTTGCAGTTGTCATTTACATAGGAATGATCTGACTTATCGTTTGCTGTAGTTTACTTATTCACAGGTTTACTAAATGATTACCGTTTATGCATTAAAGTTCAACACTGTCCCTATGTCATGCACAGATATACTTTTAAAATGGCAAGTATAAAAATATCTGCATGTCTTCATACGGGTAGCGGTAGACTAACTCATGTACATTTGTTAAATGTCTCCGAACGTATACACTTAATCGCGGATGAAGAATCACTGTCGTCTCGATGGAAGGCTTTAAAAAACAACAGTTTGTGAAACTAGTATCCTTTGGTATGTGTGATGACATTAGATTTTAGTGTGCATATTTCCTAGACACTAATTCTGCCTTCCCACAAGGAAGGCGGGGGTTAGAAAAGGTCGACTCTAGAAATGAAGATTTCACCTCGTCCCACGGATTTCCGTCTCCGGCGGTAAGGCCCCGACAAGTACTGAGGTAAAGCGGAAACTACTGACAAAAAGGTCGTATTCGACCGACCTCAAAACAGTTGTCTCTTGGGTACTGCGGTCACGTTCTCAGGTCACTAAGGCCACCTTTAAGCCAATTTCTTTTTCACGTAATTCTAGAAAAACCCTTCCATGGTGTGGGCAATCGGGAAGTGATGACTACTTCCATACCTCTAACAATACTCAAGATCACTTTATTCATAATTAATTTTCCTCTTCAACTGCTATTATTCCTTCTACCTCCATTTCCAACTCTCAACTTCCTCTTTTGACTTCCTTTTTAAGTGTCACCATGGCCAACGATTCTAGTTCGGAAAGCATTGTCCCAGATCTACTGAAACCCCGCTCTAAAATATACACTGGAGCCCTCAACGTACGCACTTTATATCAAATCGGCTAGCAGGCCTCCTTAATTAAAGCCCTAGAATTTCGTACTATTGTTGTATGCTGTGTCTCCAAAACACCCAGACAGCATCCTAGTGTGGTTATTCACTCGACCTCACCTCGCCAAAACAGAGAGCCGACGAGATACACCCTCTGTGTATCTGGCGACCCGATGGCTAGTTCTCGTGGACTGGTAAGTGTGGGAATAGCACTAAGTACGAGGACAGAATAAGCACTATTAGAATGGATACCTGTTAGCAGTCGCCAATGTGCTGTCCGGCTAGACTGCTCCGTAAGAACTCGGAAGAATAGGGACATACGTCGTTGCCTTTTCGTCATTTCTGCCTACGCAGTTCGAATGAAGTGGAAGATTTTTACAGAAAGCTTCCTAAACTTCTTCAAAGAGCTTTATGCTCAGACATAGTACTCGTAGAAGGTGACTTTAATGCGCAGATAGGTAGCTTAAACCAAACAGAAAGACATTTAGGTGGGCATTTTGGTATTCCGGCCCAGTGAACAGATAATGGTGACCGTTTGCTGCAGCTCTGCTTCGACCGTCGTTTATATTTAGCAAACACTAATTTTAGTATAAGGAGATACATCGTCTAACATGGCGAACCCCTGCACCAAACCAACGATGGACTCCAATAGATCATATTGCCGTACGTCATCGTTGGAGAGGGTCGATGAAAGACTGCCGCGCGTTCTGGAATACATATTTAGGCTCTGATCATGCTCTAATGCGAGTACGCATTTGCTTGCGCCTCACTGGATTCAGAAGAACCACATTAAGAAGACCCATTAGAGTTGAACTCAGTGACAAGAAAAACAAAATTCCAGGAACAACTGAGGCTACACTTAGGCAGTTCTAAAAACGAGACTAACCCAGATGTTGCTTGGAATGATATGTGAACAGCTGTGGAAACAGCGGTGACATTTATTATTGATTCGAACCAAAAAGTCATGACAAAACAGTGGATTTCTGTTAAGTCTATTGCACTGATATATTCTCATAAACTCATTCCATCAGGCTCTGAACACGATAAAGAGCGAAAACAAATCAGATCTAGGTTAACCAAAAGTCTAAGAAACGACTGTGAGCAGTGGTGGGCAACGAAAGCAAAAGAGATGGGAAGACAGCTGCTTTAAGCAACACCAGACGGCTTTTCAGACTAATGAGAGAAACCGGGATTAAGAAGTCAAGTGTAAGTGAAACGATCTCGGAAAAAGACGACACTTATCTCAGCCCAAACGTTCAGTACGATGGGCGGAACACATTAAGGAGCAGTTCAGCTGGCCTTCAGATACTCTACAACTACTCACCATTCCCAGACCTCCTGAATGGAACATTGAAATAGGTGCCCTGACTTTAGCTGAAGTTCAAAAAGCCTTAGCTAACCTGAAACGTGGAACAGCAGATGGATTGGGTACAGAGGTGTTCAAGTATGATGTTTCAGTTTTAGCGATCAGGTTGACTAACATTTTAGCTAAAATCTGGGAGTTGGACGTAATCCTATCTGACTGGTCTCAATCACTGATTGTCACAATATATAAGAGAGGGTCAAAATCATCCTGTGACAACCATAGAGGGATTGGTTTAACTAATATAGTATCTAAAATACTATCCTCGATAATTATCGGACGCCTCACTAAGACTCGTGAACCGCAAACACGAGAGAATCGAACTGGCTTCAGACCTGGTCGTGGCTGCATCGACCACATATTCACCATTCGTCAGGTTCTAGAACACAGGCATACTTATCGGCGTCCAACAATGGTGGTCTTTCATGACTTGGAAGCAGCATTTGACTCCGTAGACCGCGAGATTCTGTGGCAGTGTCTGCCATTGAAAGGCTTACTTCAGAAGTACATAGACCTTGTGGAGGCTCTCTACTCGAACACCATTAATCGAGTCAGAGCTTATGGCGAACTGTCATCTGAGTTTGCAACCTCAAGTGGTGTCCGTCAAGGCTGCCCACGATCTCCATTTTTGTTCAACTTCATCGTAGACCTACTGCTGGAAATAACTTTCTCGCCGATTGGATTATCAGGAACTGATCTCCTACCAGGGAGTCCAATTATCGACTTTGAGTACGCAGATGACATTGTCCTGTTTGGTGAAGTCGTTGATAAAATTCAGTCTTTTGGTAGTACTGAGCAACAATGCCAGGATGTTTGGGATGCGTTTCTCCTCCTCTGAATGCAAATTGTTGCTTCAGGACTGATCTGCATCAATTCCTGAACTAAGGATCAGAGTGAAGTAGTTGAACGTGTCGACAACTTCACTTATCTTGGAAGTCTGATCAGCCCTAATGGGTCAATGTCTGACGAGGTCCCTGCACGAATTCAAAAAGCTGATTTGGCTATTGCCAACCCATATCACTTATGACGAAAACGAGATATCTGTCTATCAATTAAGAAGCGAGTATACTGCTTAGCAGTTGGTTCTGTTCTAATTTACAGCTGCGAAACGTGGCCATTAAGAGTAGAAGATACTCGTAAGTTACTGGTATTTGACTACAGATGCCTTAGAAATATGACTTACATCTGCTGGGATCACTGGATAAGTAATAGTGAGGTTAGACACAGGGTATTAGGGAGTGATGGTAAGTCAGTCGATAAGGTCGTGAACCATCATCGACTGAGATGGTTGGGCTACGTGTTACGTATGCCTGAACACCGAATACCATGGCGTACAATGTTGACTAGTGTTGGGGATAGTTGGAAGAAAGTTAGGGGTGATCAAACGAAAACGTGGCATCAGTCATTGAAGTCATTAATTTTTGGTCTGAGCCATGTTGGTAGATGCAGACTACGTGGTTGGGGTCCGCACAACTATCGTGACCAATGGTTAGAGACTGTGGGTGGCATGTCTCGGAATCGATCACAATGACGTAGGTGTATACACTCTCTGTCTTCCCTCAAATAATGAGATTAAAATCGCTTCATATCTTTCTTTTTACGAACTAATTCTTTCTTCCTGTACTATATTTATTTTTATTTATTTATTTGAACACATAAATATTGGTACAAGAATGCGCCAAATATATATGTGCCACACACTATATCCTTATTGCAATCTTTCTTTTATATATTACCACCTCTGAATTAACTACTTTTATGAATCCGGTGTCCATCTTGTTGTGTTAATAAGGTATGGCAACTTGGACCGATGCATATATTTGCCTGGTCCTACGTTGTAGCTGACTGACTGACTATTTATATATATTACTACCACTGAAGTAACTTTCTATGAATCTGATGTTCACCTTGTGCTGATGAGGTGTGGCAACGTGGACCGATGCATATATGTGCCTCGTTCTACATTGTAGCTGACTGCTGACCCTAATCAGAGATAAATGTCTAGAATGTTAGTTTATTATTGTATTCGACAATACAACCTTACTTGTATCCAGCTTGCAAAATTATTACGTATGTAATCATTCACATTTTAGCTACATTACTTTGTTTATGTAACAAAACAAATAGTTGGATGTATATTTCCTCTAATCTATGATTTGTTTGTACCCTTTCAGAGTGGTTACTTGCTAGCTTCTTATGACGCTTCAGCATTAAACGATATATTAGGTACAATTGAAGTTTACATGACGTAAGTTTGTTTTGTTTGTACTGAAATAAAATATGCGGTCTATACAACGTTTCTGTATAGATTTGTGTTCTTTGGTGTTATGATGATCATTCGCTGCCCTCAAAGTGTGTTAACTGATTTCCTATGTTGTCATTACCGTTCCTCATATACTAACAAGTGTATGGCAAGTTTTCTTTGGATTGCTAAGTTGTCTCCAAGTTTGCCGAATCCAGACTTTTAAACATCGATCGTCTGTTACAACAACACTTAATCCAATATAAATAAGGAATGCCAAGTAGAATTCAGTCATAGTGATCCAGATTTTCTCAGTCATTTAATAATGAGACGTTTCAAGGGTATTCTGGATATCTTTTCGAATGCAAACAAGAATGTTAAAATATTTCACTTCGAATACCACAAAGATTTCCATAGGAATGATTTTGTCTGAAATTGTTAGATTTGCTCCATCAAACAATGAAAAAAACGTTCAAAATGTATGGTTTACGAATCATGCTGAAATGTTTCTGTAAATCGAACAGATTCATGTTTTTCTGTGGACTCTCAAACCCATGTTGAACGTTAATGTACGAATTTATGACATCAGAGTCCCGGCGAAATTTGTAGTTTAAGCGGGAAATATTGACTCGAATTGTTCTTAAATTAGGGAAATCTGTAATTTATGAAGTACAGGCTTATGAGCCCAATTTTATGCTTATTTTATTAGGGGGCCACACCCGGCGCTTTTGACCTAAAGGTTTGATCTATTAGGCAATGGAACGACATCAGAAGATGCAGTCCTATGGTAGCTGGTGACCAACAATATGTTCATACGTCATCGGTTCCTTCAGGATACTGGAGCCTATGTGCACCATTGGTTCGAAGTCAGAGTTTCCCGACTCCCCTAGGTGGACTCCGTATCCACCAACCTAGTTAAAGCGCCAGACATTCGCTTCTCGTCCTCTCAATTTCGTAAATAACGCCCTCGCCACGAGAAGACAATGAGTAGGACTTCCCTGGCAGTGGCTGTATACGCCTGGCCGCGTGAGAGTATTTCGAAGAGAACTGACTCTACCCACCCTCGGTCGTACCAGGGCATTGATGTACATATCAAACAGCAATAGCATCACATTATTTATTTATTTGAACACATAAATATTGGTACAAAAACATGATAGACTGTCTACTTGTGAAAAAAATAGAATCACATAAGATTATAGGTAATATTAGTTACGCTTTGTAAGGTATTTATAGTATTATTTTACCCACCAATAGTTTTCACGCAAAAGTTTGTCTGTGGATCGAATTCAAATAAAATCAGAGTGATAGACGTTTAAAAAATAATTCATTTAGTCAAGTCAGTTAATTATAGCTATCAATCAACCAAATGTCCTATATTTTTAAGAAATTTCCCATCAATTTTTTATCTCTTGTTTGGTTTGTTCACCAAAAACAATGTCTTGATAATGTTCCTTTCGAAATGTTCATTATTGTGGCACTTAGTTGGTACATCATATGATCTCTTTGGTATTCTGTAATATCGTCATCCTGAATGTTATTTATTACATTAACTGAAACATTTAATATACTTAATTAGTCCTCAGTGATAGACTGCTAACTTCCTAAGAATTTTAATTATATTTTAGTAAACGCCAGTGCCCTCATGTCTCATTATTACGCGTTTGGGAGTCAAATGATCCTCACCCACAAGAAGATGTAAGTAAAGCTTTACTGTGAAGACACTGTCTCGTTATTGTGAAAGTATTTTATTCAACTTTAACTGATTGCTCAATACAGTTCAACTAATATCTGTGTAATATTTCAGTTTGTTGACTTTTAATATATTCACTCTTCTCAAATACTGAATGACACTAACCTATACAGTATTTTAAAACTGCATCACTACATTGTTAATATTTCTTAGGGTAACCGTTAAACTTCTCGATTCAGATTTGCTAAATGTAAAAATGTTTGATTTACTGCTTAGTTTTTATCAGTCTCAGTTTTTCCAGTAGCATATTGCTACAGTCGAATATCAAAGATCTTTACAGAAACAGTTCATTCTTTATAACGTCTCGGTGATTGAGGTTGCTTACAACGTCTTGAGTTCGTAATAAAGCAGCATACTTTTAATGACCTTTTACTTCCTGTTGTAACCTTGGATACTACTGTAAACACTGTGACCGGTATCCGCTACCCGTACGCGAGATAAATAAGAATATGAAAACTGGTGCAGATGGACATTATTATTGACTTTTCAAAACCAATTCAACCGCTGTAGATAATACACATACATGAATCGATTTCACAGACACACTTGATGATTAGTTAATAAGTGGCACATATATGGGAAATACACAGTTACTACAAAAACATATGCAAGTTATGTTAAGTTGAACTAAGTTCAAATGAAATTAATACAAAACATATTTCACTGAAATAAAACTAATGTTGTATTGCATTAACTATCACACTGAATTAAAGCAGAAGTAATATTAAACAAAAGTGACACTGGGTTAAAAAATGGCTTATTTTTTCTCGTCCTTACACTGATTAAAATTTCGACAGCATTACACTTCCAAGATAATTTACTAATGGACATTGAATTCGATAATTTCATCTATTTTTGTGATAATATTGAGTCTTCCTAGTTTAATTTGTCCTTTCTGAGTATTCTTGCTGGTCAGTTCCTTCTTTTATCTTTTCATTCCAGTATCTGGATTGTTTGTGGGCTCAAATATGCAATCTCCGAAATAGTGGTTGGGTGGAAAAAGTAACTTGGAGATTATATGACTCTTTTCCTAGCTTAAAAGAACATGGTCAGCCGCATAAATTATCACCTGTAAGTTAAGTTTCCATGACGATTCCCTCAAATTTTGACTCTTGTCGCCATTGCTACTATCATTCACGCAATTTTTCACGTTTCTAATTTATTGGTAGAGAATACTTTGATGGTTTCTTTTTTTGTAGCTCACACCTCCTGATTATGATGCGGAGGTTATTTATCCTCTTCCATCTGTGGTTTTTCGAATGTTTGACTATACTGATGTAATAGATCAAGATGAAAACGAGATTGTTCCTAATTCAGATTTATCATCAGATGGAGTTAAATCTAATAAAGAAACTCCTGTCCTTCCGGGAGCACATACTATCGAACGATTCCTTATTGATGAACATTTGGCAATTTTGATGAATAATTTAAGTTTCAACAGAGTTATGTGGTAAGTAAACTAATCTTTTTTTCTCATCATTTTGGCTACCGTTAAAAACTTTGGCTAACTCACATTTGTACTAAGCTCTTCGTCGATTATGAGTGACTAACAGTTAGCAAGCATAAACTGTAAAGATTTATTTCGCAACTTATTACCATTGAAGTTTTAATTAGTAATATGGACTGCTTGTATATTACGTACTACAATGTATACTGGTATGAAAAGATATGTAAATGTTAGGGAAAGCAAGATTTAGATCATTAAGTATATTTACATGGCAACTGACTGTACAGTATTTTGCTAGAATATAAAGAAAACCAATAAGTATTTTACTGGGTTATTTATTTTTTTAACCGATACAATGATGCAGTGTTTCATTACCTTTTTGTTTGAACTAGTGAAATGTTTTGGTTGTTATATCTGTCCATTTGATTTTCTGAAATAAATAACTATCAGGAAAAATTTGGTGACCTAAATTTAGCTTCTATGGTAGCAAAATGGCTTGTTTTTAAGCGTTTTTCCAATTTCAAGTGATCTTGAAAAAAATATTCTTGTGCAGTGATATCTTGAATTTTTCCAACTTGTTTGTAGACTTAATGTAAGAAAATCACTTTCAGTTATAAATCAAATTTTGTTTTACTTCGGTGTTAGTAATCGCACCTTTATATATACTTCATGTACCTTATCTTTTTTAATATTCTCAGGTTTATTCCTATACTTTATCAATACCTTCGGTTTTTTTAGTGCTAAAGCTCTGTTGGGACTCAAAACTCGAGCCAAAGTAGCTTTAGATTACATGATCATCGAAGCTGTTTTTGCTGGAATGTTTCACTTACCTCGTCCACCAGTTCAACATGGAAATCTTCTGTTTTATGGGAGTTTACTAGTACAGTTATGCCATGAAGCTAGTAATACAATTCCTCTGGTGTTAGCTCAAGCCACTGAAGTCCTATTTGAGCGTTTAGATAATATGAAACCTGTTTGTATTGGCAGGTAGGACTACATTTGATTATGATTTCAAGTTAAGATTTATTGTCATATCTGTGATTGACTGACTAATGTGATATAAGTCACATACATTGTTTATCTTCCTAAAATTAACATTTATGTTTAAACTTATAGTGATGTGAGTTTCCCCTGTTAACCACTATTGCCACTCTTAGTGTTGCTTCTTTACTGATTATTTTTCTAAACATCCAACTGTATATTTTAACAACAACAAAGCACTTTAGATACACTATTATGCAAATGTTCTCATTGACACGTAAATCCGACCTTTTACAACCATTCCAATATTACTACAGCACCAAAGATATAACCCTGATTGTCATAAGTCACTCTGGCTTTCGCTGTACGTACATTGATCTCATCATTAACAGCACCAATACCATTCACACAACTACCCAGACACGCGGACTTTTTGACTACTTCTAACAGCTCACTACGAAGAGTGAGTGCAGCCACAGGCTCCTGTCAGTCTTGTAAAAGTACTTTGGATTTATAAGGTGTAAAGTATATACTATATTGTCACTAATTGTCAACTAAGTGCGATTTATGAAGCTGATGTATCACAACATAAGACAATATCATTTGCATACTCAAGATCAAAGATTTTCCTCAAGATAACAGATCCCCATCACTACTCCGTACTTCCATCTGAGCTGTTTCTAAAATGTCATTGATGACAACGTTGAGGAGGAATATTAAGATTGGGAAAACCTGCTTAACCCTGCTGCTAAAAAGGAACACTGAAGGGGAGTAATTGTGTGTATTGTGTGTCTTCATGATGTTAATAAATTTCTTAGGGATGCCCTTCCCCATCATTGATTGTCATTCCATCTTCACAGATTGATTCAGTTACGTCAGACTTCGTGGCTTTAATATCTTGGATGAGTTGAAACATCTTCAGGGATTAACTAAATCTAACTGTTGCTTCCAAAAAAACTCCAGATTTCTCGGTCCGTTAGCAAACTACACAGTTAATGACGTATCTGTTTATCATCCAACTCGCGATTAGGCAATGTTGACCCACTTGCTAGCAAAAATTGTAAGGAATCTGCAGAAACACAGTGCTCACAATTGTACCGTTTCATGAAGTTGCAAAAGACTTGACTCACCATTTTGATGGGGTCATGCAAACGTAACCAGTCCTTATCCATACTGCGGGTCGATAGCTAGCTTTGAATCTAACTTGGTTTGATATTTGAGTGAGACAGAAACTCCAACCTATTTGCTTACATTAATTCTTTTACAACGATTGGTTTATGGGCTAATAAGACGTAAGATTAAATTCACGTGGCGTTGTTTTACTTGGATCTTCCCATTGTTATTTAGGATAGCAATTGATCAGTCTCACATTGGCATATGTGCATCCTGTGCGGATTGCCTCAATATAGCATTAAGTCACAAGCTTTTTAAGCAAAGATGAATAGTGGCTAGCATTGGAACCCAGGACGTACGTTTCGTTCTATTTGGGACGGTCACTGTTATCTGATCTACAATCAGCGAGTCTACAGTGGACACTAACAGCTGTCCTATTTGCACGGACACTCGATCCGTACATTCTAATCTCCGAGTAGCATTATAATATCTGTCGCATGCGTTCTCCTGAGGTCATTCAAATGATGGTACCACTTATCCTTGGTTTATTTGGGTCAATAACCTGTCGGGGGATAGGCTGAGATTACGGAAAGACATTGTTCCCCATATAGTTTTCCTCGCATTTCGATGGAGCTTTATTATATAACAGCACATAAATGACTTTTAAAAGGCATACAGTTGAATAATGCTAGTGTTCTGGTGCTTAGCAAAATACTAACACCCAACTATCCTGGACGAATATTTAGCAGGGTCCCTGTACTCAATATATATTTATATGTAGGTTGGGACACTGCCTAGGGCGCCCAATGATATGCAGGTGGTTTTCTTAAGGGGTTATTCGACAACTGAACAAAGTTAGGAGATGCAATCTATGTCAACCGATGGTTAAAGATATGTTCATTTGTCATTCGTCCCTTTAGGATCCTGGAGCTCATGAGTACCATTCGTTTGTAATCAGTTTTAATTTAGGGTAGGTCCTTCGTATCCACCAACCCAGCAAGAGCCGGGCTTTCGCTTTTCGACTGCCCACCTCCGTAAACAAAAGTCCTACGGCTGGACTGCAGTGAGTAGGAAGACTTTTCTATTAGTGGATGTAAACGCGTGACCATATGAAAGGATTTTGAGAGAGAGTGGAATCTCCACCTTCCTCCCTACCAGGACTGGTCTGATATCTTAGGAATTCCTGGAATTATAAGAAAAATATTGTTGATATTCTATTTGTAAGAGATAGGACCGTAAAAGACTTGTATTCGCTGGTTGGGCGATACTAAGCTCTACATCGGGAAGCGATGATTTAGTAGTTAAAGCTCTTGGCTTGAGACTACCAAGTTACTGGTTCGAGCTCCACTTCACCTACTTCGCTTTGAATAGTCGGTCGAATATCACCATTCCTAACACATCAAGAAATATGTGGCTCCAAATCCAAATCGTTTTGTTTGACAATTGGACTTATCCTACTAATAAAACTCGAATCTAACACTAGTAGATTGCAAACCAAATGTTTTATTCACTAAACTGTTGCTTTATCCAGTTGAAATATCAGTACTGCTTCAACACCCTTTTACTTCAGACATTTAAATTATTATTATTACTGTTATCCTGTAGGTTTATTGAATGGTTTTCATATCATTTAAGTAATTATCAATTGCAATGGAGTTGGAAAGAGTGGTCCTCATCTCTAACTCTAGATCCGATGTCTCCACAAAAACGTTTAATTACCGAAACATTATGTCGATTAATACGGTGAGTATATTTCTGTATGACATGTGTTCTTAGACAGGATTGCCATTATTATTATTATTATTATTATTATTATTATTATTATTATTATTATTATTATTATTATTATTATTATTATTATTGCAATGGTTTGATAATACACTAAACCACATATTTGGTACACTCAATGACTACATCATATCGAAATATTATAAAGACTTAATGTTAATTTTACTAAGAGTAAGTTAAACTGTAAAATTTATCCGCAAAATTAAAAATCTCTGTTACATTTAAGTAAATCCATATATATATATATATATAGTTAGTCGATAAAACCAAGAGATGATTTATTACCATTATACTGTATTCTTGCTAATATTTCGATGTGTACTAATCTGCAAGTTGGAAAACATGGTACTATATGTAGTCATGTTTCTGAAATTTCAAAACTGTATAACAAAATTGCAGATTAGATAGGACAGAGTTGTTGAATTGTTTATGATTATAATCGTAACATAGAAGCAATATTCATGTTAATGTAAGATATCACATGATTGTTCGTTACTTCAAATGTAATTACTGTGTAAAGATGAAAAATCATTTGATAAAATTATGAATCTTCATGGGTTAAGATGATTGAGCACATGTGCTACGTATATCGGAGCACCTCTTACGTCAACCTATAGTCCTGTCTGATGTAGGAGTAGGTGGGTTTAGAGAAACTGCTAAAGGCATTCAACCCAAAACATATCTATTAGTCTGTGAAATTATTGACGTTGATAGGTGCAAACTACTTTGTTAGGATCCAAACAATAGTCGAAATCAATAATTTTAGATCTTAAGTGGCAAGACTTAAAATCAGTGTCATTCATGTTTTTCTGTTTTCTCGAAAATTCCGAATTTCGAGATTATTTCACATTTTGATCGTGCGAATTCATTCTATCTTTTCCAGCCCCGTATTCTGTATTTTTAGCCCATTTTTCCTATTGTTACTATTACCTTTATTAATCCGACTCCTTTACTGCTCACTTGTTCAACTAATCTGATTTTACTTATTCGGTATGGTAATTTTGGATCAGTGCACATCTGTACTAAAGGTTTTTTCTGTACATTTACAGCTAGTTATCATCTTGTATTTTACATTTTTTGTTTTAGTTTTTCATACTACGAGAACGTCAAACGTTTACTTCCGAAATCTTTTTATATAATGTTACCACCTCAACCTACGGTAATCAATAAATATGAAAGTAATCCAGGTAATTAATATTTGAATCCTTAAGATGTAGTGTTAGCTGTATCAGCACCATAACTACGCAGGCTTGTTTTTTTGAACTGGTTAAAAGGCTCAACAGTGGTGAATTTTAAATGTGCCATTGTTAATCCTATTAATCCTCTTGTACCTATTCTCGCATAAAATTAATCGTTAACCTCCATGTATGTGCATCTTTAATATATGTGTTTGCTTTTTTATCTATTTACAAATTAGCTTTTTTAAAGTATGTAAACTCATTAAAAAATTTATAGGTTGATTTATGTGTCAAATTTGCAAACCACATAATTCATTCTTTCATTCAATTTTTTCTCGTCACTGGTTTTATCTACAGAGTACCCAGTCTGAAATACATATATTCCCAACACATTTCATATAGGACTTAATATCACTTTGTCTAGCTAATATGATGGCACAACGGAATCAGTCTAAGTAAACAACGAAATAAATCGGAGACCGATTAACGTTCGAGTCAGATGCACTCCCAAAGAACTATCTTTTAATAGCATAGGTATTTTTATTAAATTGTAATATCAATATGACAAGTAATGTCAGTAAGTTGTTATTATTTGTTCGTTTATACACTTCTGAACCCACTTTGTAGTTTGGCTATTTTGTAAAGGGATTCTAATTCCTAAACCGTTCAATCTCTTGTCACCCAAAAACCTTATTCAAGATTTTGCTTATTAAAATAGATAAGTGACAACTGCATATGAAGAGTCTCAAAATCTGTTTAGATTTAAAAACCAGGATAAAATTGACTGTGCAACGTACACATGAATCAAATGAAGTTCTACGCAGTTTTTTTTCAAACAGGAAGTTTTATACATAGAAGCATTTCTCTTTATAAACACATCATTTTAACTCCAACACACATAAATGTAGATTTCAATAATTTATTTAATCTTGTTATCACGATATAGAATTGTGACTTTGTAATTTTAGATAACTGATTCCAATTATTTATTATCGGATTTGAATTCCACCCTACTTACACAGTCTCGATAACCGAATAGTTTTGATAATTATCGTACTTCGTTTAAGCCACTTTACGTATGTTGTCAGTCTTATGCGTTTAATAAAGAGATTTATAAAAGCTTATGGGATAAAAATCTTAATTTGGAAATCTTGTTGAATGATACAAACTGTATTGCCTGTTTTGCTTCGTATGGAATCATGTATGGTTTAAGTATTTCTTTTACAGTGATTTCCCCTAGTTTATGTTCCTTTACTATTTTCCATTATAGATTTGTCTTCTGCACGTGCATTCTTTCGTCTAGTGGATTCTATCCGAGCACGCCTTGAACCCCAAACCGTCTTAAGAATAGCTGAAACTGCCTCACAAAGTCGTGGTCGGCGTCTTTCACTATCAGAACCATTTGATAATGATGGGGTAAGAGATGAAAAAGATGAAGATGCATCTAGTGATGATAGTCACTCTGATCATAGTGATGAGGAGCGTCGTGGAAAAAGCCCCATTGATACCATTCCTCTGTCAGATCCTGAGTTTGATGACTTGGATGATCCTGAGCCTGCTAAACAAGAAATTCGTGCTCGTCTTAAAGCGCGTCGACGAATGTTACGGGAGAGTGCAATGAAACGTAATTTGAAAATATCATCAGAAGGTAATGCCGATGAACAGGTCGGTGTAAGAAGTGATTCTATCGAAAAGTTGCCATTTACCACAGCAGCTCAAGTGTCTGAACTTTCTCCTGGAGTGACAAATTTAGCTATTGAATTATTTTATTCTGCTATGTTGATCGCTGGTCATAAAACAATCAGTCACACATTTGCGTTCATAAAAAAGTTAGTTTCCAAACTGCGTTATTTTGGATTTCTCAACACACCTTCCATACTTTCTCCAGTTAATGTTTAATTTTGAAGATAACCCTCACTTGAGAGCTCATTTAGAATAGTTGTCTGTTGTGAACCTATCACGTTAAAACTGACAAAGTAGAGGAATCAGACTATTCGTTTCAGTCTGAATATCAAGATAAATGGGCAATTCAGCTTGAAGGTATATAGGGTAGGGATTGCGAAACTTGGATTCAGATAAATCCAAATGTTAACCTTCGAATGAGGATCAGTCGTATGTGTTCACAAAGACTAAACATCGTTTATACTGGACATCGGTCGGTAGAAGTCAATCAGGTTAAAGAAACTCAAATCATACACTGGATTGCTATGTAGTAGAATACGACCGACCAGAGTTTACCTGAGATTTCAGTTAAAGCTGTTTCAGCTTCATTGTTTTTTTTTTCGAAGCTTTGCTGGATGGTGTTGTCTAAACTAATTTCAGAAGGTTTACATTTCGAAATTCAATTTTATAGTATCCTAATATAAAGAAAGGGAGATTCACAACGCGATATTGGCATACCTTCTCATTCCCATTTGTTTTGTGTTTAATGTTTAGGTATGCTGCTGTCATCCGGACTCTTACATCTACTGTTGAAACTCAAGTAGAAGCTTTACATGTAATTCAAGCGGTTTGGGCTAATAATCCACAAATGATTGTCATTATTACAGAACATATGTGTCGTGTTGGTTTGATTGATCCGGAAGCGGTTGTTCGATGGGCATATTCACCTATAATGACAACGTTAACAGATGATACAGTCAATTCGAACTCTGCTAATGCTCGTCCAAAAATTTTGGAGTAAGACAATTCATATATATATATATATATATATATATATATATATATATATATATATATATATATATATATATATATATATATATATAATTGAGCTTTTTATTTATAGAAGAATGCTTACTGTTCTTTACAGCATTCTTCAACGTTAGTTATTTGTGCATAATTGCGTTGACTAAGGGGGTGCCTTAAAATCTAGCACTCTCTCAATGTTTTCAAAATGATTTTTGTGAAACCAGTGTGACGCTAGGTTATGACCATGGCATTTTCCGCTGCTTATAAGCCAGTGAATACAGAAGGTTTATAACTAGTCATCTATATCCTAATGAGAACTATGTCCCTTACAAAAATGTTCACTCAAGGGGGATCGATTTACATTCAACTCATTAAATAATCATTGCGCTTATAAACGATTTTGCATATTTCTGACTGTCTTTTTTCCTCTGATTATGGATTTGAAAAGAGCCAAGTGGTAATCAGTGACTGAAGTCATGTGGCATACTTATTCGGCCTCATAGGTGTAGTTTGTGCACTAAACTAACTAGTTGAATTCCCATATTCAGTTGATTCCGTAGTTTTTAACTTTCTCCAGAAACTTTTGGATCTCATTACATATTTCTTAACAGTTAAATCTGAAAAATATTGGCGCCAATTTATTTTCACATTTAAGTGGGACGGGTTCGACCCCTGCTCTACTTGCCTCAGGATCTGGACAACGGGATCACTTTTTAGCCTCCATACTCTAACTGTGATTGGAAGCCTGGAAAATAAATGTGTGCTCGATTATTTATCGTGGATAAATGATACACTGGCACCCAAAGCTATTGATGAGTACTTGATTCGAATCTCATTGTGAAAACTATCACTGAGATGCAGGTGCATTCAGCTGACTAGTTCAGAACCAGACTAAACGGATGCCTCAAATTCTACCGTCACCCACTATCTTGATCAATTTTTAGCTACGGGCGGTATTAAGTCATTTGCTCAAGAAGCCCATATGCCAACACAGGTTCATTTTCAAATATTAAAAATGACAAACTACAAACTCCTACAAATAGTAATAATTCAGTTAGTTAGCAAAACTATGTTAACCATCTGGTGTTTGGCTTTAGTGTGGCGATTCCTCTTAATGTAACACTAGGTCGGCAGAAAGTTAAGAGCTATCAATACAAGTCATGGCATCCGCCCATGTGGTCATTAAGTGTTGCTTTGAGCAGTGTTTATAGACCCAGACTACAGGCTTAAAGTCTGCGTGATTATCATAACCAATGGTTGGAAATGTTGGGTGATATGGCTCCGAATCAGTCGCCATGACGCGGGTACATTTAACACCCGATATCTTGAGCTTTAAGATTATCTTATACCCCGGATCACATTGTTTATGCTTGTTCTTTTCTACTATCAGTGATATTACTACTGTATCATTTTTCTTGACCATTCAATTTCGCTATGCTAATATGGTGTGGCAACTTAAACTCAGCCAGTCACAATGTAGAACCTGTAAGTATGTACATCGGCTCAACTTGCCGTACCCCATTAACACAAAGAGATGAATTTGTCACGTTAAATCCGAGAATAGTAGAGGTAGTAACAGTGTCAGTGATAATAGGAAAGATTAGGCATCAAAGATACGATTCAAAAAGAAAATATAAATTAGTAAAATAAAAACAAAAAAAGTTGTGAGGGATTTAGAATCTCAGGATTTGAAGGAAGACAAAGAATGGATGCACTTGTGTCATTGCAAACGATTTTGAGCCATGTCATTTCAAGTCTCTAACCATTAGTTACGAAATCACACGGACCGCAACCAAGTAGTCTACATCTATTAACGTCGATCAGTCTGATTGTTAGTGACTTCATGAACTGTTGCCAAGTTTTGGTTCAACTGTCCCTAGCTTTTTTCTAGTTCAATCCTGCACCACACAACATTGTCCATCAAGGTAGGCAATTGTTGGACATATGTAGCACATATTCCGACCACCTCAGTTGACGAGGTACTAAATCTTCGTCAACTGAGTTCCTATTTTTACCTAGTACCCTATTCCCAACACAGGTATTCCTTACTCCGTTGTCCCGAAATTCACTAGCAATGCTTCGAGAACACCTATGATTGAATAACAGTAATCTACAAATGTCCTCCACTGTACATGGTTATGTTTTTCATCCATAAAAATGAACGGAGTGAACTGCTGCGTAGTAAATTTGTCCTTTAGTTGGTAGATGGATATCTCGCCTACTCCACGAAAGGCGATCGAGATTTCATCGGACGCCAGCCTATCAGGACTGATGACACTCAAGAAATGTGAAACGGTCGATGCGTTCAACTAATTCACTCGTTGTCACTAATCCTGGAGATGACGGAAGGTAATCCTGATGTTACATTTTACATTTGGAGGAAGAGAAACTCATCCCAAACACGCTTTCATTGTTGCTTGATGTGGTCAGAAGGCTGCATTTTGTCATCATTTCTAAACAGAACTATATCGTCTACGTATTCTAAGTCAAGAAGTGATTCTTCGCATAGAAGATCGATCCCCGAAAACTTAGACGATGAAAGTGTTATTTTTAAAAGTAGGTTTATTACAAAGTTAAATAACAATAGAGAAAGCAGACATTCGTGATGAACACTTGAAATTATCAACTCTGATGACGGTTTGTCATAAGTTTTGACCCGAGAAGAGAGCCTGCACAAAGTTAGTGTAATCGTTTGGTTAACTTTCAGTAACAAACACTAGTAAAGGACCTCACGATCAACAGAGTCAAATGTTCCTTAAGGTCAAAGAATACAATTATTGTCGGACGTCGAAAATTATGTTTATTTTCCAGAACCTCGCGAAGGGTGAATATTTAGTTTAAACATCCACGTCCAGATGTCGAAGTATTATTGAGGCTTATATTTTAGACCCTTTATTAGTTAAACTAATTCCTCCGTTACTGTCACATGATTTTTTGTCCTATCTTATAGATTGGGACGATCAGTGATCGAGACCAGTCAGGTAGAATTGCGTTCAGTTCCCAGACCTTAGCTAAGATTTCAGTTAATCTAAATGCTAGAACTGGACCACCTTGAAAATCTAAGGGGTTAATCCACTAGGCATTCCTGGCCTCCCTCGCTTTAGATTGCCCATAGCCTTCTCAATCTCACTAAGACCTGTGGGACGTAGATCAATTTACTACTAAGGTTACTTAGAGGTGGTAACTGAAGGCCAGTTGAACTATTTCCTAAAGTATTCTGCTCACAAGTTCAATCTAGTGGATTGAAAATGGATAACAGTCTCATTTTTCGTGATAAATCTGAACAGCTGTCTACTATTACTTATTGCTGCTGCCTTTCCCGTCTGATTTGCTTTGCCTATCCACCACTGCTCACGATCATTACATAGACTTTTGATCAGCCTACGTCTAAGCTGCCTCTGCTCATCATTGTGTTCCAACCTAAACAGGATGAGTTTTCAACCATCTATCAGTTCTGTAGACAACAATGAAATCAACTGATTCCCCCTAACTTTTCGGTTTAAGTCACTAGTAGATATCACTGCTGTTTTCACAGCTTTTTGGATATTATACCAAGCTTCTTCTGAGTGGATATCATTTTCACAGTTGACTAACTCGAGTTGTTCTCGAAATATATTCCTAACGTTTTCATCGTTAAGTTAAACTCTAAGGAATTTTCTTTCCGCGGTTTTTCTACGTCCAGTAAGACGCAGACAAATATGTGCTCAAACTGAACCGTGATCTGAGTCTGAACGACAGCACTCCATCGAGCGCCTCTAACTATAGCTAATGGCACTGTGGCCTATTTGTGTCCATAGACGAATCGATTGTAGAGGTTGCCTCGTCAAACAATGTTTCTCCTTCTTTTTAAAGTTGATGTTTGCCAGAAATAGACGGTTATCTGAGTGTAATTGCAATACATGGTCGTCATTGTCAGTTCGTTGAGCCGCAACACCGTAAGATCCATCCATGTACCTTTCATTTTGGTTTAGTTTACTTGAGCATTAGAATCACCTGTCACTATTACTACATCAGTGTTTGGTTTTTTTTAGAGGTTGGATAGCTTCCTATAAAACTCATTTAATTTCGTTCGAGCTGCAATCAATGAGTGTGTAGGCAAAAAAACGAAGAGTCAACTGTGTGTCCCTATCTTTCTGAGATTTCACTATCCCGTTTAGTCGAACAGCGCACAGGCATCTGTTTTCTAAAATGCAATGTGACAGGGCCTGCTTTGCTTTGGAACTTGATGCTATACCTACACTAGCGAGGTCACAGGAATTAGCAGTGAAGTCTCCAGATACTCAAAGGGTAAATTGTGCCGGTTCTTTATGTTGACAAGATGAGGTCAAATAAGTGACCGCACGTGGATCCTGTGTGTGCTCTTCGGAGACGTAGCATACATCGATGGAGTGAGTTTTTAGAGTCAGACATTCTACAGTGCTTATAGCTAACCGATTATGGTTAAAAGATGACTTTATGATGGTTTTCATCTGCTTTTTATACTTGACATTTCATCTGAATTACTTACCAAACACTATATGCCTACAGCGTAAAAAATATCTGGAGATAAAAATTATTTTATTTGTTGAACCACCCAGTATTGTTACTGAAGAGTAAAATAATAGTCTGATAATTCACTGCTTCGTTATAAAGTAATCAACCATTAGTAAGTTGTCGTTCATTCATTCTAGTCAGTCACATTACAGCAAATTTTTGTAGTCAGTGATCACTTTTCTTGTAAAACATTACTTTGCTTTAACTAAAGCTGTTTCAGTGGAACACCACCAGACACAAAGATATGTGTGAATTAGCAGAAAGATATTTTTCGAGAGTGAGAAGATGTATGGAATTCTTTGCTACATAATCGAAAAGATAACAATCGTACAGTCTCTTCTATGCAAAGCTTTATAATATAATATTTTTGTTACTTATTTCTAATCCGAACGAGTAACTCACTTATTAATATTATTACTATTTAGCTTTTACGTTTGGGAGTGCTTAAGTCGAACTCTTGTTCGTGTTGGTAGGCGAGTTACTCGAATTACAAGTAGACTAGAACTGGCAAAAGAAACGATGGAAATTAACAGGCGTTCTGTAAGTTGTTGCTCATGTTAATTGTTTCGTGTTTCTTACTTTGTTAACATTGCTGGTCGATAACTTGGACCTATGCGTATGCAGTGTTTTCTAGAACAGTTGTACCGCTGATAGTATCTCGTAACTCCACTCTGTTCACGCCACAACGTAAACCATACATTCTGGGTATTTCATTGTTTTTGTCTGTCCACTTTTGTCATTGGGCACTTTTACCATCATGTGTATTTTTGTCTGTCAGTATTAATCACCTGATTTTCATATTATTTTTTTAACTACCCATGTTTCTTGCATGTTACGTTATAATTTTGCTCCAAAACGATAAACCCAGTTATTCATCACTGAACATCCACAAATGGAGCGACTCATTAATATCATTCAATATCAAAATTGCTATCAATCCCTTGATACAAAGTAAAATAACCAGTTTTGTTGTCTTTTTCAATGTTTTTCAAAGACGGTGGATCAGATCTTCGAATAAGTATTAGACATCAAGCACTGTTCCATCAAATCAGTCTCAAAAACATGGCACTGTTGACGGAATCGTTAGTTTCCGTAAAAGCCAAGTCATCATCAATATTCTGCACCTAGCACAATGTTCGTAATCCTGCGTTTGATATTCACCTTTTAATTAGAAACTAGAGCACAGAGCTAAGCGTCGTTCAAGATGGCACATAGAACGTACATACTGTAACACCATCCGAACCCAGTATCAGCATTTCTGACCTTTATTTTCGCAAAAGTAGTTACTTCCAAGTACTGTTTTCATTTCTTTCCTTTTAAATCATATTAATTCAAAATATCGTTTCCTCTTTAGATTCTTAGGAAAGTTTAGTGAACTTTGCCATCTTGAGAGATAAGCGGTTGTCATGATCTTGAAGCTTTTATCTAAGTATGTAGGTCTTCATTTATAATTTTGTTTCCGTGCCAAACATGTACTAGTTTCTTCAAGTTAAAAATAAATGTATTATTTTGTTTTTCGATCTTGTTAAGTCTCCTTATTCGACTCCTGATCGTGAAGACGCTGACCAGGGAGGAGATGGTGATAGCTTTCCACGGACTGGAGTCGACAGTGATTCATTCTTCAAGAAACCGAAAGATTCCATTTCTGGGAGAATTAAAATCAGTGACCGACGAAAGCTTATGGCAGGCTGTGAACTGGTTTCTTCGTCTGACGATGAGGCTTATGGCGGAGGAAAGGATAATGTTGGTGGTCGAGTAGCCAGACTAGAAGAAGCCAGGTGTGAAGCAGTTCGTAGTCAATGTGCTGTCATTACACTTCTTCTGCATCGTCATGCTAGACTTACTGCTGAACTTGCATCTGAAATGTCTGGATCTACTCAGAACCATTCATTCAATACGGATTCTCCATTTTTCTTACATGAACCAACTCAACCGAAAAGTTTGTCTGACGAAGCTTTACGAAATATAATGTTCTGGTTAAAAGGTCGTTTAGTGCAAGTGGTTCTTGAGGTAAGTCTTATTTTACGTTGCCATTATTTTATTCCTGCTCATAAAATCGAATATTATTCTGGTCGTGATTTGCAAGTGTTTGTCGAAATGTAAGATGTCAGATAGTAGTTTTATTCATATATGAGTTTCCGCTAAATTATATGAATAACCTAATCATGTATGCGTAAAATAAAAGCACAATATTTTGATGCAACGTCTCACAACTGTTCTACGATTGTAGAAACTTTAATTACTATGTAGTAGTTCATGTTTGTCCATTGTTCGTAGATCAGTGACGACTTATGTATATGGTATATTGAAATTAGTGTGCATGTATTCAGTAAATGTTTACATCTAACACTTTTTATAGCTCCATAACTTCATTACTCTCTCCACTTGAGGTCTCAGAGACGGATCTTTTCAAATCACTTTCTGGCTTTACAAAAATCGTGGCACCAAAATTAGCATTGGAAACGCCTTTTCAATCCAGTTACTGATAAAATAAGTGTACAGTGTATTAATTAACTTATCAAATTACGTGTACATTTTACACTTTATAGCTGTTTTTTAAAACCTGATAAAAGTTATGTTCCCAACTTATTTTCACAGCATTGCGATCAATTAATACCTTATCTGGATAACCTTGATGAATTTATCTGTGGAGCTCATCCTGAAGTTCAAGGCGTGTTCCAACAGCTTCGTTCATTGTACGCATAGCAATCTCATTTTGATACCTTCTTTATGAGGAAGTCAACTTGTGTGTACTCCAATTTGTTATGTACACTTTTTATCCAAGGATTGTAGAGTATTTTGTAACATATGGTTCTCATCGTTTACCTCCCGAAAACTAAGTTTTCTTATTTTCAGTTTCAGTGTGTCGAATTTACTTTAAGCAATAACTTAAGATTTCTCTGGGAGAAATATTCTTGGAACATCGTTTTGTACTGTTTAAATACTTGCATTTCTAGTTGTCCATGTTGTGAAGAAGTATTATGGCTTTTTAGCCTGAACGTTTTGTTTTCGCTAGTGTAGGGTCATTATCATCCATTCAGACGATTTAGGACCGTCGACTTAGAAGCATAATACAACTGAGTCGTTGACTTTGTGATTTTTAACACTCATTAAGTAACAGTCTATTCATAACTTAAAACGATTTCGCTCGTATGCAAGTGTTTGTAATAGTTGGTGTTCTTGCGGAAGTGTCCTATGGTTATTTTCTGGATAGTTACTGGTATTTGGCTGTTAGATGTGTTGCTTTTTTCAGTTAATATAGGTGATTGTTTACCAAACTATGTGACCTCTGAGTTCCATTCAATTGCACAAATTGCCACCAGTATGTTGCATCGATTAGGTGTACTTTCTATCGTTGTTAGTTGTCCATTCGGAACTAACGTCATCAGTTCGATATGTTCCTGATGTTTTTCTGCTTATTTGAAGCTACTCCAGGGTTAGCGAAGTTGCCTGAGTGGGTTCAAAGACTACCGATGGGTACTCAATAATCATCCGATGAACAACCCCACACATGACCTTCTGTACGTTAATGTTAGGTCCGAAAGCTAAAACGATGTTAAGTACATACATGTAACTTACTTTTGAAAACTGATTGGAATATTGACTTCCGAATACTATTAAATCAGAAATAGCGTTTAAAGGCAAGGTCTCATATTGTGAGTAATAAAGAACATGAAAATGAAGCCTATTAAAAAGACTTCCTATCTAGGGAGGACCAGAGTTAGTAATGGTAGTGTTTAACAATTATTTAAATGATATGAAGACCAATGGACTTTTACGTTTGAGCAAGTCTGATGTACATATGTTAGGAGACAAAATCATAATTTAGAATTACATATTGCAAATTCATTCAACAATCAAACCGTTTTCACATACGAAGTTGGTTTTTATTGACATATAAGACTTGGTGTCATAATGTTACCTTCCCTACACATCTTTTTATGCGTGCGAAGGCTAAAGAAGTTATTTTAACGTCTAATTTAAACATCCTGAATAATGAGCACTGCCTGGATCGCTATTACTGACTCATGAATATTAAGAGGGATTGTACAACTTATGTATTTCAGTGGGGGTAGGTACTTAACCCACAAAATTCTCCAGTAGCGATCACTGTGGTTTTCCTGACCTACAATTTGTTTAAGGGTATACAAAATGGTACTACTACAACATGGAGAACCACCCACCGTATGTACTCGAGGCCCTGGAAGGTTGACACCCAATGGTTTTGTGCTGAAATTTCGCCCTCTTCATGTTAGTTGTGTAGCGGTAAATAAATTTCCGCAATAAATTGTTCTGTAAGTCTTCAACACTTGATAATGACCTCATTAGTTTTGATAAACGCAACTACATGGAGGTGCTCGTTTACACGTCTTCTGTAACTTAGCCAGCTTAGACTATACGCCTCCCGATATTTCTGATTTGATTGGGTTGGTATACTCCGATTATAAAGATGTTACGTGTAAAGGCGTTGTCAATCTCCGAATACCTGTGATATCCCTAACTAAGGGCGTTTCCCTCTTTGAAGCACCTTTAGGTAGTCGATCTGGTTAAGTATAAACATCCTAGTAACTGATATCGTGTACTAGTTATGGTGCATTGCTCTTGCCTATTCATTACTAAGATTTGCCAGGTTAGGTTCTTTCCATCAAATGGTTTATCCAACTCTGCAACAATTGTAGATTTGGTATTCACTTTGAGCCAGATCATTTGACTCATTTCCACTTTATATGAATAACTTAGGAGAAAATCTGAAATATTTGATTCTCAAGGGTGTGTGTAGCACACCTACCGCGGCAGATTGTAGACAGTACTAATCACTCTTATCATACGAAATAGACTTGTTTATAATCGTATAGAGAGACTTTGGAATCAAGGTCTTAGTAAACAGAAGTTACCAGAGGAACCAGCGACAGATGCAAAATACAGAATGCTCTAAATCGGAATGCCTGTTAGCTTATAATTGTCTGCTTGACTTTAAACATTGTGTGGTCAAGCGCGGTAACCATGTAGTTGTGCTAACAGTGGAATCACACCAAGTCCTGGCCAAGGGGTCACTCATTCTCAGTGCACCCTGTCTTTGCGTTTTTGCCTAGAAATAGTGGGTGAGAAGGGAAAGGTCAAAGAAGGCTGACTTCGGAGTGACTGTGCCGCTTATCCATGCATATCTGGTCACTGTGTGTACTTCTTTATACCAAATATTACATTCAGTTACTAAGGTTTCATTCGTTATTCGAAAGTGATATCCCTAACTGCCACGATAAGGTCAGTCAGCAATGAAAATGATGTGAATGACGCAAGTTCATATAGATTAGACAGCTATATCATGACCATTCAACAATATTATGTTAAATGTGTTTCCCTAGTGGCACAAACTACCTCAATAATATCAATGGTGCTTCTTAGTTTTAAGTACTTTATCTCCAACTGCTTGTAGAATTTACAAAGATTAGTGGGGATTCGACACAGCCTAACTGAGTAACTAATTATCGTAAACCCTGTAACGTTTGTAGTATTTTGGTCGTGTTTGTAAAGTGGGATGCCTCTCGTGATATATTGTTATATAGAAATAAATTGATATTATTATAAACGTTGGGGTTGGTAAAACTTATAATATAAGACTGAAATCGAGTTAGTCGGCCTATTCATCTTGTTTAAATACTGGAATCAGTCTGCTATGTTTTACTGGAATCATGTAGCTAGTGAACTTACACAAGGTTACTCTGAAGACAAGTCATCCTATGAGTGCGAGGTCTGAGATATCCTAAGCTGGTGAGCACGATATATTCTTCTCTAATGAAGTCTAGAATAAGATAAGACCTGGAAAAGTAGTTAGACATTTGTCTTAAATCAGCCGCCATGAAATCAGAGGAAAATTATTTTCGTATTTGTCCATCAATATGGCTTGAGTGGGGAACACTACTACCCTCAGATATGCATACTATGATTTCAAAATGCACGAACTGACTAGAAGTAGTTCAGTTCAGTGGTTGAACTACCCTACACCAAACGTCAACAAAGACCAGAAACCATACTAATGCAACTAAGTTGAACACAAAGAAACCAGTTTACACAATATGGTTACGAAGATATCAGATATTGGTACACTTCTTAGGCAAGTTACAAGAGGCAAACTAACATGCTTAAGTGTATACATAATTATTAGTCTCATTGGATAAAATTGCGTGAGTTGGATGGACGTAGGAGTAACTTCAAAATTTTTAAAAATGGAAGATTTCTGTCAAGGGATATGATGTATTGAACCATTATCTTGTTTGGTCTAACCAGCAGTTTTACGTGACATCTTGTCAGTATTGTTTTACCAGTGGATCAACTTGCTCTAATTGTGGGGTAGACAGATCCCTGTACAATTTTTCCTTCACTAGTTCTGGTTTCGCGGTTAGGCATGATTAGTTGAGTTGTATCTCATCTCCTATAAGCATGTCGAAATTTCAACCGTGACGATCTGTTTAACTTCCCAAGCTACCAGCTTTGGGGAATTTTGGGGAAATCCCCAAAATGAAATAGTTTTCCCCAAACTTTGGGGAAATTTAGGAGAAATCCCCAAAATTGCCGTAGCGCATTTTTGCACACTAACATTTCATCGACATAATATAAATAAGCCTCACAGTAGTAAATTCGAATAGAGAAATTTACATTTTAATTCAATACAGACTTTTGATGAGGGATAATCTATCGAATTCCAGGTCTTGTTTTAATACATCAACAATCAGACAGTGGACAAAGAGTTGTCGGTTTTAAAGCACTTTTTCAAAATTTGAAAGCTATGCAAGTGAGTTGTTTGCAGTGCAGGTCGGAAAATTTGGTTGCTTTCTATGTTCAGTTTTACTTAAGTGAATTATTTCTTTCAGAGTAATAATAGACAGCTCGATAAGATTGCGAAAAGGCGGGCAGCAGACACGAAATACCCTAGGTTGTTTGGCTGTTCCCGATCAACCTATTGCAGAAGGTTGAGGAAAATAAAAGCACAGTTTATAAAGAAGTGTCAGTTACCGAGCTTTCACGAAGAGATAGACAATCCAGTTGTCGCCACAGAATCGCTTACTACCGCAACATTGGGCATTGGGCTAATATTATCACAGATACAGCTGCTGCTCCATGTAGTTAAGTCCAGATAACACAAGCAGCGGTAGTATCCCTTTTATTATTAGAAATTTATAGGTTATTTGATGTCAGAAATGTCTCCAGCCGTTCATCTTTCGACGAAAGAACAGTTAGAGAGAATGGTCATTGAAATGATGAGAGGTGGTTACATAAGCATAAAGAAGGCTGACCAAATATTGGACATTTTTTGTGCGCGGTATCCAGAACTTCCGACGTCCGTCCGGAGTGTTCTACGTCGATGCAACGACGTGTGGGCCTAAGATCCTCGATTCTGGAACGTATTACCACTTGGGATTGAAATCAAGTCTTTTGAGAATTTCGGAACATTGGCTACGGCAAATCCGTTTCACCGAACTGAAGTTGCAGTTAAACTACGATGGTCTAAGCTTGTGTAAAAGCTCTAAGCAACAGTTCTGGTCCATCTTAGGTCGCATGGTAGCTCCATTAGTTAGTAGTGTTTTCATAGTTGGGATCTACGGTGGTGAAGTAAAACCATCTGATTTCAACATGTCAGCAACACTTATAACAGAGTTACAGGAGTTGCTGACAGTAGGTATTAATGTAGATAAGTATCAGCTACATTT